TCTATTAGCGAAGGACTGAATGTCCAAAGCTAGTGGCCTCTCCTCCGCTGAAATGAATGCCAAACTACCCATACTCTCCGCCTTTCTGCTCAAGGCATCTGCAACTACATTCGCCTTGCTCGGATGAAAAAGGGTGGTAATATCATAATCCTTCACTGACTCAAGCCACCTACGTTGCCTCACATTGAGATCCCTTTGCTTGAACAAATTCTGCAGGTTGCAATGATCAGTGTAAACCTCACAGGACACCCCATAAATATAATGCCTCCATATCTTAAGAGCATGAACGATCGCGGCCAACTCTAAATCGTGTATATGATAATTCTTCTCATAGGGCTTCAACTAACGTAAAGCATATGCAATAACTTACCCCTACTGCAACAATACACAACCCAAACCAACGCGTGAAGCGTCGCAATACACAATATACATATCTGAATCGGAAGGCATCACTAACACCAGTGCTGAAGTCAATACGATCTTGAGCTTCTAAAAGCTCACCTCGCAATCATCGGACCATCAGAACAGGTCACCCTTCTGGGTCAATATAGTCAAAGGTGCTGAAATAGATGAGAAGCCCTCCACAAACCGACGATAATAGCCTGCCAACCTTAGGAAGCTCCTGATCTCAGTCGCTGTGGTAGGGCGAGGCCAACTCTGAACTACCTCGATCTTCTTGGTATGAACCTTAATACCCCCGTCTGATACAACATGTCCCAAGACTCACACTTGGAGAATTTAGCATATAGCTTTTGTTCCCGCAAGGTCTGAAGTACCACTCTCAGATGCTGCTCGTGCTCCTCCATGCTATGCGAGTAGATCAAAATGTCATCAATGAATACAATGATAAATAAATCAATATACAACTTGAACACCCTGTTCATAAAATCCATAAATGTCGCTGGGGCGTTAATCAAGCCAAAAGACATCACTAAAAACTCATAATGGCCATATTGAGTTTGAAAAGCCGTCTTCGGGACATCGAAATCCCAAATCTTCAGTTGATGGTACCCCGATCTCAAGTCGATCTTAGAGAACACCTTAGCACCCTACAACTGGTCAAACATGTCAGCAATACGTGGCAACAGGTACTTGTTTTTAATGGTAACCTTGTTCAACTAGAGGTAATCAACGCACATCCGCATAATCCCATCTTTCTTCTTCACAAATAACACCGGTGCACCCCAAGGCGATACACTCAGTCTGACGAACCCTTTTGATAACAACTCCTTAAGTTTCTCCTTCAACTCCTTCAACTCTCTCGGAGCCATGCGGTACGGTGGAATAGATATAGGCTGGGTACCTGGAGACAACTCAATACAGAAATCGATATCATGATCTGGTGGTGTGCTTGGAAGATTAGAAGGAAACACAACGGAGAACTCCCGGACCACAGGCACTGAATCAATCACCAGAGTCTCTGTGGTAGTATCTCAGACATAGGCTAGAAAAGCCAAGCACCCCTTCTCGACCATGTGTCGAGCCTTCAGAAAAGAAATAACCCGACTAGGTGTACTACCAGACGAACCCTTCCACTCCAATATAGGAAACTCTGGCATCGCCAAGGTAACAACATTGGCATGACAATCAAGGATGGCGTGATATGGAGATAACCAATCATGCCCAGTATAACCTCAAAGTCAGTCATGTCAAGTAACAGAAGATCTGCTCTAGTCTTATAACCAGAGAATGTAATGATGTATGACTGATAGTTCTAATTCACAACAACAGAATCGCCCACTGGTATGGACACATAAACAGGAGTACCCAAGGACTCACAAGGAACACCCAAGAAATGAGCAAACAGAGATGAAACATATGAATAGGTAGACCCTGGATCAAATAGTACCGAAGCATCCCTACCGCAGACAGAAATAATACATGTGATCACAGAATCTGAGGTCACTGTATCTGGTATGGCCGGAAAACATAGAATCTAGCTGGAGCGCCACCTGACTAGCCTTCTCCTGCCTGACCTCCACCTCTAGGACGACCCTTACCGACTTGCCCTCTGCCTCTGGGTGGCTGGACGACTGGTGGGGCAACTGGTGCTGGAATAATAGGGTGTTGACCCTACTGTACTGCCTTGCCTCGAAGCCTGGGGCAAAACTTCCGCACATGACTGAGATCTTCGCACTCAAAACAAGCACTCGACATGGTGGACTGCTGACTTGAAGTCTGACCATGATGGCCTGAATACCTACTAGAGGATCCTTGAATAGATGCCGGGCGGTAAGAACTCTATGGCATGGCACTGAAAGAAGGTCACACTAAAGCTCCCAGAGAAGGCAGCGGTGTTGAATATGTGGGCATGCTAGACTGGCCCCTCACGAACTGACCCATGCCCCTAGCCGGGGCACCACTGAACTCTCCAGAATACCGGAACTGCTTATCCCTCGCAGCTTGCTCCTGACCATGCTGACGTGCACCCTCGATCCTCTGAGCTATCTCTACAACTAGGTCGTAAGAAGTCCCAATCTCCACCTCTCGGGCCATAGTGGCCTGAGTAGTAGAGTGCAAACCGGCAACAAACCTCCGCACCCTCTCTGTATCGGTCGGAAGTATCATAAGTGCATGGCGAAACAACTCAGAGAATTTTGCCTCATAGTCAGTCACTGACAGTTGGCCCTGCTGGAGCTGCTCGAACAGAAATTGCAACTTTTCCTTTTGAGAGGGTGGAATATATATGTCCAAGAAGAGGCGTGTGAACTGGTCCCAAGTCATGGGATGAGAACTTACTGGTCTAACGAGAATATATGACTGGCACCACCTACGGGCCCTGCCCTCCAACTGGAAAGTAGTAAAATCCACCCCATGAGACTCCAATATCCTTATGTTGTGCAGTCTGTCCCTGCGCCAGTCAATAAAGTCCTGGGGGTCCTCGTGTCGCTCACCTCCAAAGACAGGAGGTTGTAGCCTGGTCCATCTGTCCAATAGTCTATGCGGATCGCCGACCGCAGCTGGTATAGGATCAGATATAGCTGCTGCAGCTGGCTGAGCTCCGCCCACGGGTAGTGCGCCCGAGGTATGAAATACATCAGCTGTGTGCTCTGGAGTATGAGCGGTAGGGGTTTGTGCTCCCCCTCCCGCCTGAGATATGGCAGGGTCTGCTAGAAATAAACCAGCATGAGTCATAGAATCCATGAACCGTAGCATATGGCCCATGACCTCCTGGAATCCCCTTGCAGAAATGAAATCCACCGGGACAGGTCCTGCTACAGGAACCTCACCATGCTCCTCAATAATGGGATCCTCTACTGAATCCACTGGTGGTGTAACTGGAGCAACTCTATGAAGCCCTCGACCTCTACCATGAACTGGAGTCTTCCCTTGGCTTCTGCCTTGGCCTCTAGGAACAGGGGGAGCAGCTCCTCCATGGTCTGGTACATCCGATGTGCGTGTTCTCAACATCTATGAGAGAATGAGAGAAAAATACTTAGTACTATATCAACTGCACTATAGTAGATGAAGAAAGAGTAGTTTCCTAACACCCTATAGCCTCTCAAAGATAAGTACGGACGTCTCCTCACCGATCCACAAGACTCTATTAGGACTGCTTATAACTTGTGAGACCTACGTGAACCTAGTGCTTTGATACCATATTGTCACAACCCAAATTTCTCCTATAGGCCGTGATGGCGTCTAACGTCACCACTAGGCAAGCCTACGATGAACTTACTACGTGAGTTCTTCTTTTAAACAATTTCAGAGTAATTAAATCCCATTTGTTTAGAAATTTGAGAAATAGAGAGAGTCAAATGATTAAAATGAAAATATCTGAATGCAAGCATAATATGTAAATACCCCAAAATCATAAAGTCTACTAGAGTGGGTGCTGAGATCTGGTGTCACAAGTATATGAGCAACTAGTAGAATATACAAAACTCCAACTACTATCCGAAATAAAGTAGATAGAATATAAATAAAAAGAGAGACTCTAGGGGCTACGGAACGCCTCGGGAAGTAGCTCATCACTAGGCCTCAGGATATCTAGGACGCGCGCGGGTAGGACCGCCAGATGCACCTGCCTCAAATACTGCATGGTTAGTGCAGAAGTATAGCATGAGTAGTGACGAGGGGTCAACATCGACACTTACTATGGGCTACCAAAAAAATTACATAAGTTCTAAATAACATGGGTTATGTAATTAAGATAATAACTAAATAGCAAGCAAGGAGTAAAGAATTTCTTTCACACATGGTAAGTCCCAAATTAATTCCATCATGTATAATTTTAATCTTTCAAGCCATGAAATGACATCAAATATGTAATTAAACTCTGAGTGTTAACACGCACGATTATGTCGAGATCGTACGACCCTATCCAGAATAATGTGTAAACTGCCGAGGGTTGAGCGACATGAACCATAGATATATCTATCTACTGCCGAGGTGTTCGGCCCGCTCCACAATAAGAGAGGATACTTTATAAGCTTTTGAATTAAATGTTATTAAAGGCTAATACACCATGTACTACAAATTCTATTAATGGTCCTTCACAATTCCTCTAACAAGTTCCATTATAATTTAGGCACTTTAATTAACAAGTAGGATGCAAGCATCTCAAATAATTCATGATTTGGGTCCTAAGACTACCCGAAAATAAGCATAATTAGTATCTACGCACGGACTCTCATCACCTCGTACGTACGTAGCCCCCACAATTAGAAGCAAATAATAATATAAATCACCTATGGGAAAAATTTCCTCTTACAAGGTTAGACAAGAGACTTACCTCGTCTCAAGGCTCACTTTCCGATCACAATTCTGCTCTAAAGTCCCAACTCTGTGACGAACAATCAAAAACTAGCAAAAATGTTATATAAATTAATCAATACATGTTTAAAAGTTCATATTCATACTATTAGAGTGATTACCCAACCCCAATTTGAAGAATTCCTAAAATTCACCCCCGGGCACACGTGCCCAGATTTCGGAAATTTTCAAAGAAAGTTGTTACACAGAACCTCACGAACTCAAATATGTAATTTTCACTCAATTCCCTAACCATTTTCGTAGTTAAATCCCATTTTTATCAAAATCTAAGTTTTTTCATCTAAACACATGATTTCACAAATTTTACATGTTAAATCTATCCATAATCTATGTATTAAACTCATATTGCATAGAAATTACTTACCTCAATTAGCTAGGTGGAAACCCCCTCTTTGAAGCTCCAAAAATTACCCAAGTGTGCAATAAATGAACTCAAAATAGCCTAAGTCCCGTTTTAAAAGAACCACACTAGCTCCAGCGATTCCGCATATGCGGCATTGCTTCTGCGGAAGTGCCTAGGCTGGCTGGTTTTGCTTCTGCGGACGGGAGTCCGCTTTTGTGGCAAGCGCGTTGCACCTGCAACCCTATTCTGCATCTGCTATCATCTTCTTTGCACCTGCGCCTCCGCAGGTGCGGTCCCTTCGACGCTACTACGATCACTGGGCAACCTGTGTTGCGCCGTTTCTGCGGTCCATGGCTCGCTTCTACGAGCTCGCACATGCAGTTAGCCCTCCGCAGGTGCGATTACACCATAAACCTGGTGCTTCAGCTGCTCTTCCAATTCCAAATGAGTTCCACGCGTCGTCCGATTAACACCCGAGGCGCCCGGGGCCCTGCCCAAACATACCAACAAGTTTGAAATCATAAAACGAACTCGCCCGAACCTTCGGAACGCATAAAAAAACATCAAAACTAAGAATAACACCCCAAACTAAATTGAACACTGAAACATACTTAAACTACTCAGAATGACACCAAATTTTGCGTGCAAGTACCAAATCACCATACAAACTTATTGGAACTGTCAAATCCCAGTTCCAAGGTCGTTTACTTAAAATGTTGACCAAAGTCAAATTTAGCATTTTAAAGCCAAATTAAGGAATCAAGTGTTCTAATTTCAACTTGAACCCTTCCAAGCCCCGCAAGTAATAATACAGTAAAAGCACATACAGAGAGTCTTATTTAGGGGAATGGGAACCTAGAAGGAAAAATGACCGGTCGGGTCATTAAAGTTACCTTGCTTTTTTCTCTTATCTTGCCCTTCCTTATTATTAAATAATTATATTTTATCATTTATCTTTTTTTATACAATAATTCTACAATGTATCCTAACTTTTCTTAGTATTGTTGCAAGCTATTTTTCATATTGTTGGTACATTACATCATGAAATGACGGTAAATGATACAATCGGTCCAAACGTTGTATTCATTAAACAATACATTACAATAAAATACGATACATTATGAAACGACAAGTAACAACAATCCATCAAACTTTCTCTCTACACTCACTCATTTTTCTCTGTCTTCTCACAAATGTTAACTGTTGAACATTTTGGACCATTAGCCCCCACCTCTTCTCCCACCATCCCCACCTGACCCACCAAACAATCTAACCAATCAAAATCTCTCAAGCAGCCAAAATATTACCATTACACAACACTCCACCGCTCAATCGCCACCTTCTACTAAGGCCACCGCTGAAATTGATGCCTCCACACAAAATCAACCATCATCTACACCACTAATACCTCTAAATCAACAAAATACAACACTACTCATACATCCCATGCAACCATCTCTTATGCATTACAATACTCCCAGCCCTAATCCCAATTACTGAAAGTCTCCTCTAACTTCGATAGATACAATCGACCAAATTGAGAAACCAAGGAAAATAATTGAGCTCCTGTTGCCACACCCAACTCAACCTAGAACCAACTGCAAATGGGATAAGATATCTCTCCATCCCAGCCCCAACCTCCCAATTTCTCAGGTACCAATCCAATTAATAGTTCTAAATCTCCCAATAGACCTCCTAACATAATTTTCAAACCTTTATTTGCCTCCATAGTTTCAGCAAATCTCGCCCTCGGCCTAAAAGGAAAACAACTCATGAATATGACTCATGAAACTCATATGGGTAAACTAGCTATGTATTTTTCTGCTCTAGACTATTTCGTCAACCTTGTTGAGGATTGCCGTCTTACTGTTGTTGGGAAATTCTTGAAAGGAAAACCACCATGGATGAGTTGAGAAAACTTTTCAATAGCCATGTTCCTCTAAAAGGTACCGTGAAGATTGCCTATTTTGATCATAATCATGTATATGTTAATTTCACAAATGAAGCAGGTTTCTACCATATTTATTTCAAACCATTCATTACTTTGGGTCCCTATATAATGAAAATAATTAAATGGACCCCTGACTTTGTCCCTGAAAGTGAAACCTCTTTGGTCCCTGATTGGATTTTAATCCATCAATTTCTGTGGGACTTATTTAGATGGGACATTATTTCTAGGATGGTTAGATCAATTGGCACGTCTATGGCTCCCAACATGGCTACTTATTCCAAATCAAGAGGAAATGTTGTGAAGTTAACATTGGAAAGTGATCTTTTAAAACCAAAACAAGATCAAATTTGGGTAGGTTTTTAAAGATTAGATTATAATGTGGAAGATGGTTATTAGTTAGATGTGGAATATGAGGGTGTTCCCTCATACTATCAATATTGTCTCATGAAAGGCCACTCCTAAAGTGAATGCAGGAAGCATAAAAGAGATGTTGAACATAATAACATGATTAATAATGAGAAAACCGGGGAAGACAATCAATGGAGGTCTCAAAGAGGTTCCAAAAGAAAACCTCAAGCAGTTCTTGAAAAAAATGACTCAGTCCAGCATACTTCTAATACTGTGAACAACATCCAATATGATCAAAATAACCTTCTTCATCAACCTCAAAGAGAACATGTGACACAAGGAAACAATGCTTACCCAGATTAGCCAAACGGTGGTTTCAAGCCTCATTTCACCGAAGAGAAAATAGAAACAAGAAAAAAGTTCAATGGCAAGTGCATAATAATCCTCTCCAACAGACTTTCAAGTAGCTTCAATATAGCCACACATGTATTAATCCTCCCAGAACCTAGCCATCTAGCTCATGTATCCAGCAATAATACTACTCAGGATATACCCACACAAACTCAAATCATAAATCATAAGTCTACTCCATCTCCCAACAATGATCTACATCACAGCCCCAAGATAAATGTCAAAACCAAATCCAACCTCGCACATCAGAGTACCCAGCAAAATTCATATGTTCTTGTACCAGATAAATCACAACCCAATCAAATCTGAGTTGGGCATAATAGAATTGCTCAACAACCTTCCACTACTACTCAATGTACAGTTCCTTCATCTAATACTCCCTCAATCTCTGGAAGTAAGGTTGCAGTGCAAAATACACCAAGCCAATATAGAGATCATTCTATACACAAACCACCCGACCCTCCACCCGGTCAGATTCTTTCTAGATCACCCTCACCAACTAACAATCTTAATATTCAACCAAATAACACTGATTCAGAGGGTGGTTCAGAATATGAGGATGATGAACTACATGAATCTGCTAGGTGGCTCAAGTGCTGATTATGAGTGTGAGGTTAATTTCGATGCAGAATAAAGTGACACAGATAATGATTTTAAAAGTGTTGAAGAAATATCAGCCACCGGTGATGAAACAACATATGTTATGGTGGAAACATTAGTACAACAACCCCTTCCACCTGTTGAAATTACCCAAGCTTTTGGAGAGATCACTGAGAAGCATAACTTATCTCCTATAGGTACTACTTCTGTAGGAATTACAACCAGAGCAAGCAAAAGAGGCAGAGGGGGCAGAGGTAATCATTTTGTGAAATCCTCACAGAACAAAGGCAATAAAATTATATCTTTTAATGATTGAGTCTCTAATTTAAAATATTAGAGGCATCACTTCCCAAGGTGCCTTTAACATACTCAAACAACTTAAAAGACTTTACAAGCTTCAATTTATTGTTGTTATGGAACCTTTTAATAGTAGAACTAAGCTGGACAAATTTAGAAGAGGCTTGGGGGTTTGATTTTGCCTATGCTAACTCAACTAACAAGATCTGGTTTTTCTGTGATAATTCTACGAATTGTACAATCAATAAGGACATGAATCAATAAATGACATGCTCAGTGGAATACTATAGAGAGCTAATCCACTTAAGTATGGTTTATGCTAAATGCAAGGAACACTTAAGAGAGCCGTTATGTGAAAGCCTTTATAATCTCTCTGATGTCATTAATTCACCATGGATGATTACTGGGGACTTTTATTCTATAACTGATCCAGATGAGAAGAGCGGAGGGAAGATCCATGATATTGCAAGGAGCTTACCTTTCATAAATTGTATTGGAGAGACTGTGACATGATTGATCTTGGTTATAATGGTTCTCCTTACACAAGGTGCAATGTTTAAGAACCTAGAAAAAGAATATGGGCTAGATTGAATAGGGCTCTTGTTAATAATGATTTGCTGCAGAAGTTCACTTCTACCAATGTCTCTCATTTGGTTAGAACCGGTTCAGATCATGCTCCACTCCTAATTTTCATAGCCAATCTGCATACTGATCCAAAGAGATATTTTAAATTCCCGTATTTCTGGACAGATCAAGATGGTTTTATGCAAGTAGTACAACAAACCTGGGATATTCAAGTTGAAGGAGGTCCAATGTGGAGGTTTCATTTAAAGTTGAAGAATACCTGCAAAATATTTTCTTACTGGTCCAAGCATACTATTGGGAATATCTTTGATAAAACTAAAGAACTTTAATCTAAGCTTGAAGAACTGGAAGAGAATTATCTTTATGATAATTCTGAATATAATAGGATGGAGCTCAATAAAGTGAATACTCAACTTATTAGGCACATTAAGAATGAAGAATCATAGTGGAGACAAAAATCAAGATTGAGATGATTTACTGATGGTGACAACAATACGGATTTTTTTCACTTTGTTATCAATTCAAGGAAGAGAAAATTAGCTTTTACTAGGATTAAAAGAGATGATGGGACATGGGTGGAGAATGCAAGAGACATTGCTGATAAAGCCATCCATTTTTTTAAGAATCAGTTCACTGAAGATCCAACTACCAGGGACCTCACTGCTCTCAGATACCTCCCCTTGGTGGTAAATGATGTTGATAATACTGCACTTGAGGCTTTTCCAACTTTGGATGAGGTTAAATAAATCGTTTTCTCCATGAACTCTAGTAGTGCCCCTGGTCCTGATGGACTCCCAGGTAAGTTTCTTCATCACTGCTGGCAAATTATTTCTCAAGATCTCTATAATGTGATTATGGTTTTTATTTTTCTAGGAACGAGCTTCTCAGGTGTTTTACACACACATGTGTTGTCTTAATTCCTAAAATTGATAGTCCTCAGCATTTTACTGATTTTAGGCCTATCAGTTAAGTAATTTTATTTCCAATGTCATCTCTAAATTGTTTAATAATAGGCTTAGCCCTCTTATGAGCAAGATCATTTCTCCTAATCAAACTGGCTTCATGAAGAATAGATCCATTGCTCATAATGTAATCCTTACTCAGGAAATAGTACACAATATTAAGAGGCCTAATACTAATGGTAATGTCATTTTAAAATTAGATATGGCTAAAGCATTTGACAGGGTATCTTGGAATTATCTTTGTCATGTTATGAGGCATTTAGGTTTTTTTGAGTTTTGAATTGACATGGTGTTCATTCTTATATCTAATAACTGGTACTCTATCAATATTAATGGTATTAGACATTGTTTGTTTAAATCTTCTAGGGGTTTAAAACAAGGTTGATCTATTATAACCATCTTTCTAGAATGGCTTCCAATCACCATACCATGTGTTCTAATACTTGATTCATACTCACATTTCCATAATAAATCCATGCATGTAATTCTAAGGGTGTAGGATTACCATTTTGGAAGAGATTTTACAAAACCTTCCTTTGAGTTCTTAAAGAAACTTCTTGAAGATCTAAGTATTTTATTTGTAGATATCATCAATAGTGGTGTAGAAATGAAAGAATTTCACACCAAAACAATGGGGATTGCTTACCTTGAAGAAGAGATGAGTTGGTGGTCTTGAGAGAGTGGAGGAAAACCCCAAAATCCGTCCAAGATGAATGGGGGAAATGAACCCCCAAAATGAGTACTTAAAAAAAATGCTTCGGGTGGTAGCGTGCCAGGTCCAACGCCAAACCTCTATACTACACTAGATCTCAAAGTTGCTAAGAGGGATGGCGTGCCACAATCCGTGTGTTGCACGGACGCTAGCACGCTCCCAGTGGTTTTCTTTTCCATTTCTTGCTTCTCTACTTATCCTCACTTGATACCTTGCTATGATATAGATCTGAATTGACTTCAAATTTTGCACACAAGTCACATTTGATATTACTGACCTACTCCAACTTCCGGAATCGAAATCCGACCCCGATATCAAAAAGTCAACTCCCCGGTCAAACTTCCAAACTTAAATTTCTATTTTAGCCATTTCAAACCTAATTTAACTACGGACTTCCAAATAATTTTTCAAACACGCTCCTAAGTCCAAAATCACCATACGGAGCTATTGGAATCATCAAAATGCTATTCCAGGATTGTTCACATTTAAGACAACATTCAGTCAACCTTTTCAACTTAAATTTTTATCTTTGAGACTAAGTGTCTCAATTCATTCTGAAACCTCACCAGACCAGAACCAATTACCCCGGCAAGTCACATAACAACTGTAAATAATAAATTGAGCAGTAAATAGGGGAACGAAATTGTAATACTCAAAACGATCGGTCAGTTCATTATATTCTCCCCCTCTTAAATAAACATTCGTCCTCAAACGAGTTTAGAATTATACTTGAAGTCTCAAATAGGTGTAGATATTTGCTCTGTATCTCCCGCTCAGTCTTCCAAGTAGCTTCTCCGACTGGTTGACCTCTCCACTGCACTTTCACTAACGCTATGTTCTTTGGTCTCAACTTTCAACCCTGTCGGTCCAAGATGGCCACTGGCTCCACATGATAAACCAATTTACCATCCAACTGAACCGTGCTGAAATCCAAAACATGAGATGGATCTCCGACATACTTTCGGACGCTCCCATTTCTACTTTGGAATTTCAAGTCTCTGAAGTAATACACCCGGCCTCTGATACTCGTACTTTACATGATGACAATTTAAACACCGAGCTACAAACCCAACTATATCTTTCTTCATTCACCTTCACCAATAGTGCTGCTTCAAATCCTGATACATCTTCGCGGCACCTGGATGAATGAAGTGCCGCAAACTGTGAGCCTCCTAGAGAATCAAATCACGCAAACCATCTACATTAGGCACACATAGCCTACCCTGCATCCGTAATACGCCGTCATCCCCAATAGTGACTTCCTTGGCATCACTGTGCTAAACTGTGTCCTTAAGGACAAGCAGATGGGGGTCATCATACTGACGTTCTCTGATACGATCATAGAGAGAAGACTGAGAAACCACACAAGCCAAAACTCGATTCAGCTCTGAAACATCCAATCTAACAAACTGGTTAGGCAAGGCCTGAACATCCAAGGCTAAAGGCCTCTCTGCTACCGGTAAGTATGCTAAGCTTCCCAAATTCTCCGCCTTACGGCTGAAGGTATCGACCACCACATTGGCCTTTCAGGGATGATAGAGAATGGTGATATTATAATTCTTAAGCAACTCTAACCACATCCGCTGCTGAAAATTAAGATCCTTCTGTTTAAACAGATGTTGTAGACTCTGGTGATCGGTATAAACTTCACAATGGACACCGTACAAATAATGCCGCCAAAACTTCAAGGCATGAACAATAGCTGCTAACTCAAGGTGGTAGACCAGATAATTCTTCTCATGTACATTTAACTGTCTGGACGCATAGGCAATCACCCTACCATCTTGCATCAACACTACGCCGAGACAAATACGTGATGCATCACAATATACAATATAAGACTGTGAACTTGTAGGCAATACCAATACTGGGGATGTAGTCAAAGCTGTCTTGAGCTTCTGAAAGATCTCTTCACATTCATCTGACCACCTGAACGAAGCACTTTTCTGGGTCAATTTAGTCAAAGGCGATGTAATAGATGAGAAACCCTCTATAAAGCGACGATAATAACCGGCCAAGTCGAGAAAACTTCGAATCTTAATAGCCGAAGATGGCCTAGGCCAACTCTGAACTGCCTCTATTTTCTTCAGATCTACCTTAATTCCTTCACTCGACACTATGTGTCCCAAGAATGCCACTGAATTAAGCCAAAACTCACACTTATAGAATTTGGCATATAGTATCTCATCCCTCAGCCTTTGTAGTACAATACTCAAATGTTGTACATGTTCCTCATGGCTACATGAATACATCAGAATGTCATCAATAAATACTACGACAAACAAATCAAGATACGACTGGAATACACTATTCATCAAGTGCATAAATACCGTTGGGGCATTGGTCATCCAAAAAGTTATCACGAGGAACTCATAATGACCATAAAGGGTCCTGAATGCCGTCTTTAGAATATCCGAATCCCAAATTTTCAACTGGTGATACCCGGATCTTAAATCAATTTTGGAGAACACCCTCGTTCCCTGAAGCTGGTCAAATAAATCATCAATACGCGGAAAATGATACTTGTTCTTGATTGTAACTTTGTTCAACTGCCTATAGTCGATGCACATAGGCATAGTACCATCTTTATTTTTCACAAACAGAACTAGTGCACTCCAATGCGACACACTAGGCCTAATAAACCCCTTATCAAGAAGTTCCTGAAGTTGCTCTTTTAATTCTTTCAACTCAGCTGGTGCCATATGATACGGAGGAATAGAAATGGGCTGTGTGCCCGGCACCAAGTCAATATCGAAATCAATATCCCTGTCGAGTGGCATACCCGACAGATCTGCAGGAAACACATCCAAAAAGTCTCAAACTACTGGAACATAATCAATAGTAGGAGTGTCAGCATCGACATCCCTCACAAAGTCCAAATAAGACAAACATCCTTTACCAATCATCAGTTGCGCCCTTAAGTGAGAAATTACCCTGCTGGGAACAAAATCTGGAGCACCTCTCCATTCAATCCTTGGCAACCCTGGCATAGCCAATGTCACGGTCTTAGCATGACAGTCCAGAATAGCATGACATGGAGACAACCAATCCATACCTAAGATTCCATCGATATCAACCATGCTAAGCAATAAGAGATCAAACTCTAGTCTTCCAAACCCCCAATAGTTACCATACACGACAGATACACACGGTCCAGAATAATAGTATCACACACCGGTGTAGATATGCAAACAGGTGAAACTAGGGACTCACGGGACATATCCAGATAATGACTAAAGTACGATGATACATACAAATAAGTGGAACCGGGGTCAAATAATATAGAAGCTTTCTTATGGCATTCTGAGATAATACATGTGATCACTACATCTGAAGAAACAGCATCTGGCCTGGCAGGAAAAGCATAGAATCGAGCCTAACTGTCACCTGATCGACCTCCCCCTCTTGGGAGACCCCTAGCTGACTGAGCCCCACCCCAAGCTGGCTAGGCGGGTGGTGGAGCAACTGGGGCAGAAGTAGTAGCCTGAATCCTCTGCTGAACTGGACCTCGCGTAAAGCGGGGACAATATTTTCTCACATGATCCCGCTCTCCACACTCATAGCACTCTCTCGAAGAAGAATGGAGGCGAGTTCTGGGGCAGACCTCGAGAACCAGAA